TCCCATCAGATTTCCCCTCCTGCCATGGGGTAACCACTATTCTGAATGTGGTGTTTTCACTACATAGGTGAGTAGCAAATGAGATTTTTTCTTCTTCTTCTCAAAGATGAGCTATATTATTATAGCATGTTTATATGATGATGGGAATGTTTCAGTAAAGAGTGGGAAATTGATTATGTGGGAGACAGAGGGAATAATTTCAAGAGTCACATTTTTGAGCAGGGGAGAAGGGATGGGATCCCAGTGCACAGATGGGATGGGGGCTGGGAGCAGGTCAGCTTCTCTGCAGTAACAAGGGGAAGACACTGAATATGATAGAGATGCAAGTGGCCTCATAGATTTGGGGGTGGGACCATGAGGGAGTTTCTATTTTCTCACTGAAATAGGAAGAAAGGTTGTCATTTTGTGAAATTGTGGTCTCAGATTTGGGGAATGTGAACCAAATGGGGAAATGTGAGCTTGCAGGCCATGCTGAGGGCCCACAGAAAGCGAAACCAGTTATTATGACTGTGTGTTTTTCCATAGACACATTCAGCTGTTGGGTGCATGTGTGGATTTAACCAGGGATAAAATGTGACAGAGGGAGAGGGACCAAGAATACAGCGCTGAGAGACAATTATAGTGTTGAACTTGGGATCTACATTGGGTAATGAGGGAAGTGAAAAATTGAGGGGATCAAATAGCAGTGAAGAATGACAGAGTCAATGGATGGAAGGTCCAGGTGAGGCTGAAGAATTTTTGGAATGTGGATACTAGGTGGAGGAGGGGGTGACATGAAAAGACTGAAGAGGTTTTGGAGGGGCTGCCGTTATTGGTGGTAACCAAGGTGAAGATAGGATACGCAGAGAGAGTGGCTGGGGAGGGGGGAAAACATCATCAGAGGTGAGTAAGGCAAGGAATGGAGCAGGGTGCTGGATGGTTATCTATACAGATATTGAAGCCACCAAAAATAATGAAATGACAGAGGTGATAGTAAGCTAGGTACTGAATCTCCAATGAGTGAGGGGGAGTTATGACCCAGAATTGAATCATGGGGGAATCAGAGCTCCCAAGAAGATGTTAGAGGAGCAGAGCCTCTCCTGAAGGATGGAGTTCCTGTAAATAGAGGTACAAGAGCTAAGGGCACCATGTTTGGGGGGAGCTGAGGTAAGATGGGAAGAGAACTGAATTGGAATATGCCTCCTGAGGGAGGAGTCTGGGTGAAGAGATCTGGGAGAAGTCATTTTCATTCACTTCTTCCTCTGCCTAATTCCTTTCGATTCAACTGAGTTCAAGGACTGGTAGAAGAGGTTTTATCTGATGAAGATCTGAAAACCAGAGATAAGCCAGCTTTGGCTCCTGCCTTCAAGTAGCTCACAAGGTAAGGTGAGTACATTAAGATCTCAGGTGGGAAGAGATGGGAAAAAAATGCAGATAATGTGAACAAGGAGTGGGTTTTAGATCCAGATACCTTCCTCCTAAAGAAAGTTGCTCTGGTTGAAGCCACAATTTTTGGCCTCTCCCCTCCCCCTTGGTGGTCCCTAAAGTGCCTCTAAGCCTGTAATTCTTTTTTTTTTTTTTT